CGCGGTCCTTTTTTAAAGTGGCTAATCTAAAAAACGATTTGTTCTTAAAAAAGGACCCTGCAGTTTATATTATTCAACCCACGACCGCAGGAAAGGGAAGGGCCGATGCTTGGTTGGTGGTCTGGGCGGCGGATCCGGCGGTGGGGCAGACGGATCATGTCGGAGTAGCGCGAGGCTGACGGAGAGGTGGCGGCCGGAGGCAGGGCATGCTCCAAGGCGGCCCAGGCGGCGGATCAATGGGCGCTCCTCTCGGTCGTCCTCCTCTCGACCGTAGGACAGGCAAGAGGCGGCTCTTGGTTGGTGGTCTGGGCAGCGGATCCGGCTGCTCCGGCGCGGATACGGCAATGGGGCGGACGGATCGAGGCGGAGGAGCACGAGGCCGACGGAGAGGTGGCCGGCCGGAGGCGGGCCGAGCTCCAAGGCGGCGGGGTTGTTCCATGGTGACTTCCCTATAGAAAACAAAGATTGGAAACAGAGAGAAGAAGAAGGTAAAAGTCAAGAGAGAGAAGGAGAGAGGGGGAAGTGACAGCTCCTGGGCTGGCCTGCTCGTGGCACAGCTGGAGCTCCTCTCCAGGCGCGGTCGGAGGCAGGGAGGCCGGGCTACTGGAGTGGCAAAAAGGGGGGATTTGCGAAGGGGGGGATAGAAACGAGTGCGGTTGCGTGCTTTTGCTGTAAGAAGAAGAAATATGTTTATTATCAGAATAAATAGTACCACCTCGCTCCTTTGTAATCAATCGAATCAATTTATATACGGCGGTGCTTGAGGCAGCAAAAACCAGAGAAGGGAACAGATTAAACTCAATGAAAGGCTACGAAGGAACAACTTAAGCACACAAGCAGCGACTCCTTTGAGAAATCAACAACCAGAGGAAGGGAACAGCACCAGCCACACTCCTTGAACAATTACCAGTGTACAAGTTGAAAATACGTGTGTTGTGACACACGGTGTCACCAGTGGCTGTCGCCTGCCCCCCTTGGAGAGCAGCGAGTCCTGCCTTGCAAAGCCCGCACCTTGCGCAGGCGAGCACGACAGCGCCTCCTCCAGCGCAGCATCGAAGCGCACGGACGGCGGGAATCGCGGCAGGACCCAGCCGGCAGCATCGAAGCGCACGGACGGCGGGAATCGCGGCAGGACCCAGCCGTGCATCGTCTCTAGCGTCTTGTTGCGTTGGCGAATGAAGATGAGGAAAGTGCGAGGGAGAGGAAGAATCGAGACGAGACGACGAGAGGATAAGATTTCAGCGGTGGGGAAACAGGGGATAAGGCGTGCGCGCTGCCGTACCCAAGCGGTGGGGCGGCTGGGCCATAGTCGGCTTCCTGCGAGGTCAGTCAGGCCCAAGTAGCTGGCCCGTGGTAACACATCCAAGTGTGCGGTTTATCTAAAAAAACATCTCTTCTCAAAAAACAAAAATCTAAAAAACATCCAAATATATGGGGTTTGCTTAAAGAAAAATCTAAGTGTAAGGGGTCAATTCAAATTACGTGGTTGGATTGCTAGAGTACTAATTTGCACATGGTCCTTCTCAAAAAAGAAAATTGCACATGACCATGCAGTTTGATTATTAAAAAAATCAAAAAATTATCGGTAGATCAAAATTTAACAACTTAATTTATATGTCAGAGTAAATAATAATGATATGAGTAATAAAACATTAATTCAATCATATATTATATACATATAATTTGTCGGTCGTGCAACGATTTGATTCTTTATTCGGGAAAAGTATTAACATTGACAAATGTCGTAGCTTTTAAAATAATATCAAAGTGATTTTGTTAGTCGGAGAAAACGGTTACACGATATTAAAGGCTGTGAATTTTGATGGTATGCACTATGATTACCTGTGTGCTATTTATTATTATTTTGAATGAAGTTATGTGGAAAAACACACTCTACTCATTTCTATTAGTATTTGTGTTGTTCCCGTGCATTGTCTTGGATACCGTGACCACTGTCGATGAGAGCGGAAAGGAGGTTAAGAGGTGACATA